CCCCGCTACCACCAACCCCCCAAGTATATTTCAGATCTGTGGGAAACACTGTTGATTATACAAAGGTTCAAATCTAAAACCAAAAATAGAAGAAAACATAGGAATTAATTGTAAATACAGCTACAAAAATGAGGGCTTCCTTGGGATTATTAAACATTTTCTTTACTGTCAAGAGAGTCTGATCTCAGCGTGTGTTAATACCAGTTTTAAAGCAAGTTATTAAGGCTCTACAAAAGCGGGCTAAGCAGTCGAGGCATGTGGCTATACAAGAGGCTATTGTAAATAACTAGTGTTTAGCTTCTTAGCCTATTGATTTATGTCTCGCTTTGTGCCTGCTACAGTCGGCTCAGAGGTTCACTTTTATCTGGGATATCTTGCACTCCCTGGACTGCACATTGCCTCATAATTATACTTCTCGTTTTTATTCCAGGCAGTTCCCACCTCCTGGCCAGTGTATACACTCTGTTTCAAAGACAATGCATGTTTTCTTTCTCAGCATGCTCCTGTGGGAGAGAATGCAGCCGTTTGTTTGGGTTGAAACATATCTACTTGAGGGGACAGCAGGGTTCTTTTAACTGCGAGGTGTGGTGTGGCTGATGGGACTTTAGTGGGAATATGCACTGGCACCGTTTGCTAACGTCTATGTGCGATTGCATAAGCCAGTCTGTGTTTGTGGCAGCAGGCTTGTGCATCAGTTACTGTAAATCCACGTTGTTGAGAGGTGACTTCCACGGAAGAGTAGCATTGGTGGGTTTGAGCCAAACTTTTCCCCTCTGGGCTTCCTGAGTTCAGAGAAAAGGAGTGGGCGTCTGTGTGGAAGGAGATCAGAGCTTAGCAATGGCAATATGTAAACTGATTCCTTCTGTTGACAACACAATCAAATTGCCAACATCTACATCTAAATATAGTCCACACGTTTCTTTGATCAAGGCACGAGGCCAGCACCTTGCATGATAGCTTTGCCACCATCAGTGTATTAAGATGTATGTGAATGGATGATTGGAGTCAAATGATATAGTGCTGTGTCTGGTAACGTAGAAAGACAGTATACAAATGTATCACAGCAGCTTGTCCTAACTGTCTGAGGCCAGGTGGGCGTCAGCCATGCTGCTAACTCCTCAGACATGTAACCTTTATGCTGTGACTCATCATCACGACATGCATCCTCCAAAAGTTATTCCAGAAAACAGAATGTGCCTCAAAGGTTACAGAGCACAAATAAAGCCTAAGCATGAAGGATTTCTCCATAGAGTAATGGGAACATGTTCTTCCATGCCTTTAACCTTCAGGCCGAGCTTACATCAGTTTAGAGAAACAACTTGATGCCAGCCAGTTCAAGCACGCTCATTTGTAATGATGAAAACTCATTTGTTTCAATAGAGAAAATCCACAGCCAACCAGTCTGCAGCAATTGGACGAAGAAGCTGTAATCTAATTAAATAAACTGCAGTTTACTTTCTTGTCCCTTCAGCGCTACAGTGTTTTTTACATAAAAAAAACGAGGAGGAAAAAAAGAGACTAGATTGTTTCCGAGCCTGGAGACACTGCTGTGGGTTTTTCCATGATTGTAACTTAAATCACTGCCAAGAAGATTCTTAGTGCAGAGGGAAAACAAACAACAGCACTCACGCAAAAGCTGAGGCTTGAGGATCTGAACAAACATAACATTGTTATACATTTTTATAACGTAATATAATTATTGGTAATACTGTGGCACCAGATACACATGAACATTTCATCTGTTGCATTGTATGTAACATTTTGTATCTGTTTTGCCCAATAAATACATTAATATAATGAGTTTATTTTCATTTATGGTGAAAAACACAGATACCAGCTAAAATGACTGTTGGATTACAATTAATCCTATATTCCAAAATATCATAAAGTATACTCATTGTACTTTCTTGGCAGTTTGTAGAAGAAAGCCGTGCCGTTTTCACACTTTGTACTAACAGGATATTACTCAAAACTTCTTGAAATCTCTCGGTTTACTAGCCACAGACGGGCCACAGTGTATCCAAACCCTGACTCGTGGAGACAAAGCTTGACATTGTTAAGTCCTGCACTGATGGTTTTTTTCCTCTCTGTGACCACGGTTTCCATTTTATTCTCATTTGGCAGCACAGAACGTCTTAGAGCCCGTCTCTCACACAGATGCTGACAGATTTAAAACAACAGTTTAGTCTCCAAGAAAATATATGAGCGTCAGGTCAAGACACCAGGGGCTCCCTGTCCCCCTCTGAATGTCTCAGCCTCGTCTTTTTCCCCTCGCCCCCTTTGCCCCCCGCTTTCACCAAGCCCAGTCAGCCCGCGTGAAGCACCATCCGTGAGGAGCTAACAAAGAGACACCAAGCGGGGGTCAGCTCCTCCGTGCACCAACAATACCCCCAGTCACAGCCCATTAGCACATCCGCAGTCATCTGTCCCATACACTGTACTTCGTTTCCCCTCTTCTTTTAATCTCATGCAAGATTTAGACCAACCCCCACCCATTTAGCATTCTCACTTTCCCGCCATTTCCTGTCTTTTTAATCAGCTCCCAAGCAAATCTTGTGTTTTTTGTGAGGTGTGCTAGTGTGTGAAATAAATTGAAGCCAGGCATGGTGAAATAATAACGCGCAATAACAACAGTGTGTAGCGGACTTTTCCAGAAACAGCATAACCTGTTATCCCTCCCTCACAGCAGTTCACTGTTCTGCTAGTGTAGTGATTTGTGTAGCAACCTGTATAATTCATCAGATCCAACCATCACTGACTCATCTTGTCTTTGTCTCGTTTTGTTTCTCTTCTGTAGTTATGGTGATCGTGCTGCTCCGCTACGCCCACGTCATTGAGAAGCAACAAAATTGTGTTCTCAACACGGCGGGTCTCTCCACAGGCTGGATCTGTGCCGCTGGACTCATGATGGTGGGCAACTTCCAGGTACGAGGGTCCAGTTTACCTTCATCACACAGACATACAATGCAATTCCAAATATAGAAAATGATGAAATAGCAGGAAAGTAATATGAAACCACAAGGGAAATATAGATGAGTAAAATGACTCTCAAAATGTGAGTCAGAGTTGATTAGAAAGTTAAAGACTGTGACAGCAAAGTGTTAAGATTTGTGCTTTAGGTGGTTTTTACATCATTTTAAGGTGACTATTTTGTTGTTTTTCTCTTTCACATGTGGTGACCTTGGTTTTAAGAATATAATGATGGCTATTTTTCATTGCACATGGCAGAATTATTGTCAATACAAAGTAACCGTTAGTTTGCAGCCCAGAAGAAAACTGCCTGGCATTGAAATGTCTCTTTCTCAATGACATTCAGGCCTGTGTCCATGACTCAGCTTGTTTCATTTGCTTTCATCTTCCTCAAATGACACTATTCCTCGCCCCCTCTTTATCACGTGCACACAGATACACACAGAAAAACAACTTGTATCTAAGATTTTGTACATTCAGGTGTTTTTAAAGTCTGCTCTGCCATCAGAGACACACTGTTCTCCTGCTCTCTCCGGTAGTTCAAGTGAGGAAAACTGACTTGAATTTCTCTCCTGTAGATATTTGTTCTTTGGAAAAGAATTTCATGAAGTTTACATATTTGGAGCACTGGCTCGATGCCCAGACTACAAGTAGCTTTGAGGAGACATCCTTGGTATTTTTGTAAGTTTGGGAGGGGAGGCTCAGAGATCAAATAGACACGGTTTTATTTTTTGATAAAAGGCTGGATACGTCTTTGAATGTTGTTAACATTCAGGTTTTGCCTTTCAAATTGGAAAAGACTGTTAAATAGTTCACTGTTTATGGTAAATAATGTGTGAGAGATACGAGAAGGGAGCAGACAGGTTACAGTACTAACACATGTGGGCCTTTTGAATTGCCAAAAGGCAGACCAGTTCTGAAAGAAATTCACTGTTAAAGTTCCTGTTTTTGAATGAAAACATTCCTCAGTATAAAGCAGAATGAATGTTCCTTGAGTGTATCAGATGTCATTGTTATTGTATATATCTGACATTTTATAGACTTAAAGATTAACCGTTGAATCTGTAAATTAATCACTAGTTACAAAAATCTATTGGGGCAACTCTGTGTCTCTTTATGATCAGACTGAGCTCATGCTGTTTGTAAGGTGTGGCCGAAGCACTCTTAACTAAATGTTGTCTATGGATGATATGACATCTTACAGTAGTTAAACAATGTTTGTCTAGAGGCCACTGTGTCCTGAGGAAGATGGAGACAAACAATAGCCGTAGAGGTGTGAGAGGTTTGCAGTGGTATTTTGTTTGAGAATGCTCAAAGGTCGTCTTCACCTTCTTCCCGCTTTTCCTTTGGGGCCTCCGCTCTGCAGAGCTGGGAGGAATTACACGGGAAGGGCCAGGGGGAAGTGAGTCATCAGGTCTGGCCATGCATGGAGAGGAGCAAAGCAGACAGGGTGTGTGAGGCTGAGGCCCTCTGTAACCAATCACAGGCCTCGCTCACAGACATCACATGGCTTATAGTCGAGGCATTCCAGTGGGATGGAAATAGAGATGTCATTGAAGATGATTACACTTTTTAAACCACATGACAAAAGAAATTCTGTTGTCAAAATCAAGCCCAGGCTCAAAAGAATAATGACACAGCATCCCCTGGCAAACAATGGAGAGTCAGAGGAGAGAACAGCAGCCAAAATCTGATGAACCCAACAGAGAAAAGGGAGAGAAAGTAGCAGAAACACAACACGTATGTAGCTGTGGGTTACGTAAAGGCTTTGGCAGAGCAGATGTGGTGCGGCCGCTGGGGCTTTTCCTGTCAGGTGGTCTGATGGTTTGGGCAGAGAAGCACATAACTAGATGATGGAAAAGCACATCGCTGCCAGACAGAGGTCCACGAGAGGGACACGGCTAGTTCATGAGCTGCCGTCAGGAGGAGGAGAGAGAGGAAGATGACGTACAGATGATGCTGACTATCGGTGCCGTTCAACTGCATCCTAAAGGATTGCAGTCCGTTTAAGAAATATTGATTTTTGAAAAGCACTGATGGTTGTGTAAAGTATTAGAAACAATGTCCAAGGAATCATGGCTAACATTTGAAAGCATATGTTATGTGCATGAATATGTCTCCGGTGATTATAGATATAAATGTCATATAGGCACTTATTCAGGACCCCCTTTTTGTCCGTCTGCTTGAATGGGATTTGCAATATGTGGTTGTGAAATTTCTGTTACAAATGTTGGCAGCCGTTTGGTTCAGCAGTTGTGGTTTCAACGGTCAAGTCAAAAGAGTTTCACTTTTGGTTCAATTTTCAGAAAATGAAAACTGATGCTGGCAGAGAGCTGGATGTCTGTTGGTCTTGTTCCCACATGTGCTACATCCTCACACCTCAGATTATCCTGCACACGCTCTGTATTACATTACAGTAACACACACACACATTTAGATGATCATGTGTCTATTGATTTTTTATATTGACAGGATCAATGTATTTAATAAAATGTGGTACCAATTCTTTAAAAAAATGACAGAACCGGACAAACTCTGGTGACTTCTAGCTGCAGTAGGTTTCAGCAGTGACAGATGAAGGCAGATGCTCAGAGATGTGTAGTTTCCCATGAACAAATGTTTCCATATTGAGAGCATACTAAAGTGTGAAAACCTCCATACAAAAGAACAGCAAAGGTTTACTTTGATGCCGCGACGGCTCATTAAGCCATCAGGTAATGACTACGATTAGTGATATAATCTGTGACACCAGGCAGCACACAAGCAGTACAAACCCCTGAGGAGTGTTGGATTATTTAAATATACTGTCTATGCCTAATCTGCTGGTTATATTCTTGAGACAAAAGTTGTTTGATATATTAAACATCTGAAAAGGAAACATTCTGCAAAAAACAAAACGGGAGTTAAAACCAGAAGTTACCAGAAGGAGAACGGAGCATGGTTGTTGTTGCATGGGTGTGTGTTTTTCCATTACTGTGTACAGTGAGTAACAGATTGGCACTACACTCAGACCCTGCAGTGCCAGTTTGATGTAGTTCCTGTAAATGGAGACGGTGATGCAGTTGAAAAAATAGGATTTTGTAACAGCCACTTTAGTATGAAAGCTAAAACAATAAACTGCTGTTTGAGCAAAGGCATGTGGAAACATGTGTGAAAGAGCTTGCTGTGATTTATTTTTCCACTCCTGTAAAAATAAGACTAATGGTGTGTGTGTTTTTTTCATATTGATTGTATGGATAACTTACTTTCAAGGATTAGCCTACTGCACAGGAATGTTCTGTATGTACTCACCAGTATCTACCGATTCATCATCAGCCAAAAAAATACTGTTATTTGTCATTTGGCTGAATTAGTGTGTGTGTGTGTGTGTGTGTGTGTGTGTGTGTGTGTGTGTGTGTGTGTGTGTGTGTGTGTGTGTGTGTGTGTGTGTGTGTGTGTGTGTGTGTG